GGGGGGGGGGGGGGAGAGGATCCTTCCCAGCCCACATAAATTATTTATTATAAGAAGCAAAGCCTGACCTCCTCCACCTCATTACCTACTCCGAGGTAGCTGCCCAGGTGCCAGCTTTTGCCTCACAGAGAATGAAAATGGTACCCAGAGTAGTCGCTCTCATTGAGCCCACTCTCCTTTGCCTCTCAGCAAGTTGTGTGTGGGCCCGTGCCCTCGATGCTGCCTTCACATCTTCACCCCTAGCATAGACACCCAAGCACATGAATTTAAAAAGTGCTTTCCATGTTGTTGGTTGAGCAATTCAACTGTAGTTGGAGTGGGGGGGGACACAAAAGGGTCCCAAAAAAACCATTCTACTGATCCAATTTCATTCTTTTATTCAAACCAACTTTCTAAGTGTTTGTTCAGCCCTTTGGATGACATTTTGTGCATGTCCCTAATAAGCATGTTTTAAAGGTACCACTGCAGATCTTTTAGTGAGTATACACTTTTCCAGCCACAAGTACCCCCAATGTTTGAAAAACTGGCCCAAGAGTCCTTTCTACTACCTAGAGTGTATTCTGGGCATGCTTTTGTAATAGATACAAAATAAAGCTAAATATAATATACTTTAACATAATCCAGTTATAGGAGTTATAGATCCAAAATTCCCCAGTTAATGACATGCATCCATGCATTTCTACCTGTACTTCTTACGCATCTATCACAACAACATCTCTAAAATCTGATGTTTATATCTGGCTGAAAGTAGTACACGCGAAACTTAGACAGAAGGCTCTCTAGAGATTTTACATGCAAGGATGTGGCTCACAAGCCTTATTCCTTTCAGTCCAAGAAATGTACCAGGTTTATGACATGATCTCTGAATTAGAGCCATTTGGGAAATTTTGGATGAAGCAGTTTTTTCCTCCAGAAAATGACAATTGTCAAAACCAAAAATGTTCACAGGAACCCACCAGCTTCAAGAAGAGCAGCCAGACTAGACCAAACCTACTGATTCTACTCGAAATCAGAATAAAATTGACCTAGAAAAGCCGGAGTCCAAACTTGTGGCAGAGGCAATATCTTTTATTCGACCAACTAGATATTTGCCAAAAAAACCCCAAAAACAAAGAACAAAACAAAACAAAAATCTTTATTTGCAAGCTTTCAGGCACAGGCACCCTTCATCAGGCATAGGTGATTGCAAAGCTTATGTAATGAAAATGTATATAAGGAAACAGAGTGCATAGCATTTAATCCCTGCTCTGCCCTAGTCACAGCTCTGTACACACAATGTCTCCTAGAGTTAGGTCAAAATTTCCGCGTTTCTCGCAGGCTCTTGCAATGCCAGCTGAAACTCCCACAATTTCTGCTCCCATCTACACTTGGCACCGAGGGAAACAAAATAACATACCTGCTGCGTCTCCTGGAGCGCTGCCATAGGCAGCTGTTACAAAACTGGATTTAAGGTCCTATGAGAAAGGTTTTTTGGCTGCTGTTGCCAAAAGAATAGATTGTTCTTAAATAGAGATCGCTGGCATTTCCACACTTTTGGGACAGGCTCCGTGTATAAGCCTATGAACTACATAGTTTCAGGCAGTTGCAAGCCAGCCAGGCTGCCTCAGGTATGTAGGGCACGAGCTTTCCTCAGAGTGGCTTTCACATACGTTGCATTGGAGCACAGGTATGTTACACAAAGCAGACTTATGTTGCTCTCAACAAGCCTGTCGAGCCTTGACAGAGCAGGAATTGTAGCTGATCGTAGTCTCAACCACCCCGATAGTTCCCAAGATTGGAATAATGTTCTCCCGGTCAGAGATCACAGCTAGGCCTGGAAAGATTATTAAACCAGCATTAAAGTAGAGTGAAGACTTTGTTACGGGCTTTTAGTTTCCCAAACTCCCACATAAAATGTCACAAAAGGTGTTACTTTTCAGCAAGTAGCTGCTTACCAGTGGGTGGATCAGAAGTGCCAACTTTAGTTAGAGCCTTGATTTTCAAACGCATTTATTCAGAATGAGAAATGCTTATCTCAGGTGCTTGCAGATTGCTGAGCTGAGGAGAATACAGAAGAGTCTATTTTCTTCCTTGGAGTGGTAGCAATATCAGATTCTTTTGCTGGGAAAAATTAAGGGATCAGCAGATTTAGACTACCTGCCTACTCATGCACACTCCATTATAAGCTATGGTCCTGCCACTGCCTGTAAAATAAGTAATAGTGAGGGAGGCCAGAGCTCTATTTGATGACACTCATGCAATCTCACTGAGACCTTTCAAGGTGTAATAAATTCATCACTATTGATGGTGCAAACACGCTGTATATTTTCCTCATGGCAGTTGCCATAAAGTTCTGCTCTTACAATAAGAAGCCCAAAGGCAGATCCCCATTAACTTCAAAGAGACCAACAGAGGCTCAGTACCTCTGGGGAGAAACAGAGCAAAAAGAAATCGTCCCATGAAGATTACTCAATAGAGTCTGAGAACTACAGGCTGCATTCTTAAAGTCTTTTCAACCGTATGAATCTTTGACTCACATTTGTGTTTGCTAGGTAAACAAAGCACTTGATGTGGCATTCAGATAGCCATTCATTTCAAAATGATGTTCCAAGCAGGCATGCATCCCTAAATGATATCAGGACAAATGCAGACAAGTGAAAAAGGCACCCTGGCAAACTTGTCCAGCATAAGGTGGGTCCCTGGCTAGCACAGGCTGTTGGAATGACTCTTGGCTGGTCCCCTTCCTAACCCAGGATTTACAGTATCATAGGAAAGTAGGGCTGGAAGGGACCTCACAAGGTCAACTAGTAAAGCCCCTGCTCAAGGCAGGATTATCCCCGACTAAACCATCTAAGCCAAGTGTCTGTCTAAGCTGCTTTCGAAGCTTACCAAGGATGGAGATTCCACAGCTTCATTAGGGAGCCCGTTCCAACACTTGACAATCCTCATAGTCAAAGGTCCTCCTAACCTCCAGACTAAATTTCCCCTTCTGTGGCTTGAGGCGATTGCTCCTAGTCCTGTCCCCTAAAGCCACAGAGAAAAATCCATCTCCATCCTTGCTATAATAACCCTTCAGGTATTTGAAGATTTCTCAGATCTCCCCCCTGCCCCAGTCTTCTCTTCTCTAAGCTAACTAACCCCAGTTCATTTAGCCTTTCCTCATAAAAAGGGAACCTGGTTTTCTCCATTTAAAAGTCGCAAATTCCTCCAATTTAGAAAACAATTGCAATTTCTCCAATTGAAAGACCCCAGACCTGCATTTTTCAATTATTACAATGCAATGCCACTAATATATATGAGTTAAACACAATATTTTATTGATATATTTACAATTTTTAAGCAATTTGGAAGCCTATCAGTGCCTCAATCACTATACTAAAATAAATTGTAAATACCTATAAAATTTTGGAGTTTGATTTTTGGTTTTTTATCATGGGGGGAAGAAAAAAAAAAAAAAATCAGAGCTCCCCCTGCCCCTTTCACTCACCAGGACATAGGCCCAGCTGTAGCTGTCCCTGCCCTTCTCACTGCTTTGTAGCACTAAGCAGTCCTGATATGCTGGTGCCCTGCCCATGCCATTGCCCCTCACTCCCCAACCACAGCCTGCCCCCCCAGGGCTACAAGGCCAGGGGCCCTGGTTCAAAGCCCTCTGCACCAGCCCCCAAGCCCCAGCTGCCACTGAGCAGAGCATGCAGCTCGGCTCCCTCTCCCCCATGGGCAGCACAGCCAGAAAAGAGTCTGTCAGGGAGCGGATGTGGGTTGCCAGCTATGGGCTCAGGCTCCCCGCTCTGCTGCCCTTCCCCTGGGGCCTCTGCAGCCCAGAGGGCAGGACCCAGTGTGGCAGGGCTGCATGGGGCCAGGCAGGGAAGCTTGTTGCCACCACCACAAACTCTGCACCACCACGGCAAGGCGCCTCTGCCTGCCCAGCAGCAGCAAGGGGCACAACTCTGCACTGCCACCTCCACTGCTGCCAGGCAGGCAGGGAGCACTTAGCCATGGCAGCACAGGGCACCCAGCAGCGGCACCAAGATTCTCTGCCCCACTCTCCCCTGCCATGCCACATCCCACCTGCTGGGCTGTGGAAGGCAGCAGGATGGGGAGCCTGAGCCTTCAATGGGCAGCCCACACCCACCCATGCCCCATGCACAGATCTGGGGGGCACGTGCCCCCCATGCCTCCCCAGGAGTGCTCGCAGCAGCAAGGAGCCAGCGCCCCACTCCTCCAGGACAAGCCACCCACGGCTTCATCCCAAACCCTGCACGTTGCAGCCCCGGGCCTCAAGCCCCCATACACTGTCTGGGCTCAGCAGCACCCCCAGCCCCGTCCAACTCCCTCCCTCACTATGGAGACCTCAATTCCTGCCCCCCACCCCCCCGTCAGACTTACCTGCAGGGAACTGTTCTCCAAGGTGCCTGGCAGCCACGTGCACATGTACATACACATGGCACTCTCTGCCTGACCACCCTTCTCCCACTCCCCCCAGCCCCTTGCAGGCTGCAATTCTGCCAGCCTGCAAGGGGAAATCCATCATTTCCTGTGTTTGCCTACTTAAAAAGAGAAAATCCAAGTTTCACCACGTTTTTCCATGGAAAACTGAAAACCTATATCCCTGCTCATTAGTCTCATCTCCCATGCCCCTAATCATTCTTTTACCCTATGCTATCCACCTCCTCCTGGAAGTGTGGAGCCCCAGACTGGACACAGTACTCCAAGTGAGGCCTCATCAGTGCTGAATAGAGCAGAAGAATCACTTCCCTTGATTTGCAAATGACACTTCTTAATACAGCCCAGTATGCTGTTGGCTTTTTTTGCAACAAGAGCACACTGCTGGCTGATATTCAATTTATGGTCCTTTTCTGCAGTACTTCAACCTAGCCAGTCATTCCCCAGTCTGTATTTATGCTTGCGGTTATCCCATCCCAAGTGCAGGACTTTGTACTTGTCCTTCTTGAATCTCATCTCATTGACTGAGGACTATTTCTCTAATCTATCCAAGTCATTCTGGATCCTAGCCCTGCTCTTCAGAGTGCCTCCAGTTCCACACAACTTGGTGTCACTCACAAATTTGCTATGCATGCACTATGGGTCGGCTATTCTCAGATGGGCAATTGATCCTAGTGGACCATTGCAGGCAGCATAAAAGTTAAGACTACCAATAGAGCCTAGGTGAAGCTTAGGTGCCAGCTCCTCAAATTGTGGGGCTTCTGTGCATCTGCAGAGACCTTGATTTAGGCCCCTAAGGATCTTTGAGCTCCAAACTAGAGGTATCAAATGAATAGCCACCAGAGCAAGCGTATTCTGGATTACTTTTTGCAACGTGGGCACCTACATATTCCCTAAGTTGCATTTACCAGTCTGGAGTTTTCCCTAAAGGAAGTAGAGCAGAAGTTGCCATGCAGGTGAGCAGGAAGAACCTAGAACAGTTCAGCAGTGGCTTCTCAAACACAAAGTTGACAGGAGCCAATAAACACAGCATCTGGTACACGATGACAGGAACTGAAGAACGAGGGTCAGATTTCAGAAGGGACCGAGTTCTAGGCAAGACCATTCTCCTCTGGTCCTTTTGGCTGTTGCTTTATTGGAGGCTTTTGCAGCATCTGCACAATCCACGGTGACTCCATCCCTGTTTGTGCAGTGCTGCTCATAGACTAATAAGCTCCACATCTCAGAGAGTCCATCAGCCCATGCACAGTGCTGCCCCAACATGCCTATACTTCCTTTGGTCTGGGTTTTGTTATGAATGCTTCCAAGTCTAGGCCCGAATGTGCATAGGTCTCACTTGCCCTTGGCTTTCTGACTCTTGGGTTTTTTTGGAAGCAGCACCACCTAGATACCGGATAGGACCCCAGCCCGGGTGATGATGACCACCTTCCAGCAGCTTCTTCAGCTTCTCATCATTGTGGATGGCCAGCTAGAGATGGTGGGGCATGATGCCAGTTTTCTTGTTGTCACAGGCAGTGCTCCCAGCCAACTCCAGAATTTCAGCCATCAGGTCAGGGGTGGGAAAAATGGTGGATCTCCTTGCTGCATGCCCCTGCCTGCAGACCCTGTGCTTATCACAGGAGCATGCAGGCAGCAGATCGTAGCTCTACCCCAGCCTCAACCCAGGGCCGAAGATCCCAGGGTCTCCCCAGCCCCATCCACCAGTCTCACTTCCAGCCACAGCCCCACTCCAGCCACCTGGCCTGTGCCCTGCCTATGCAGGTCTCACCCCCTGGTAGTGGGTGTGGGCCAGAGGGGCTTGGGGTGCCCAGGCAGTGGGGCTAGATCCAGCAGTGGCAGCCAGAAGGAACCACTGCCACAGGGACTGCTGGAAAATGGAGTCCACCACGGGCCCACATCTGCATCAGATACTCCATCACTGCAGCCACATGGACTGGAGCCTCAGCTCCCACTTGTTCAGCATAACTGCTTTTGTAAAGCAGACAGTGCACACAGCCTATAGGGAACTGCAGCCCCACCAGGGAAGATCTAGATGTAACCTTAGCTTGGACTTTGCCTCCCTGCTTGCCAGAGCTGGGCATGATTTCACTCTTAAGTAATGGCACCTCTATGTGGAAAGAAAATCTGAGCAGTCTTTGGTCTGGAAGCTAGCTGATGCAGTCTGGCACCACCCTGCACCACACAGACACCCCATAAGCAGCACACGCCGCTCAGCTTAGAGGGAACACTGTCCATAAGGCACCTTCTTACTGTTATATTACCTCTTCTTGGCTCAGACTGCTCTGAAAAGATTCAGACCCTCACAAATTGCTCCCATTTGAAGGAGAAGGTGTTGAAGTCAAGTATTTCTTTGCTGCCATCCTATCTATTCACAAAGACTGTCTTCTATGCCCATGAAAATGGGGCCTAACAGGAACAAACAACAGTGAGTAGTTTCCTTGTACAGAGAGCCACATTCACCTTTTCATCCTGTAGTAGCCCCCAAAAGAGATCTGCCTCATCTCCCCTCTCAGGGTCACACACATCACTGCTTTTCTTGTTTTCTGCTGCCTTTCTCCTCCTACTCTCCCCTCCGCCATATACACAGCTGCAACCAACCAGTCCCCTAGCTCTTGTAATTCACAGTGTATCCACATAAACCTTGACTGCTGTGTCATAAGCCAGTTCCTTGTACAAGAACCCCCTATTGTTTTGGCTATTGCTGAATGAAAATCAGGCAGAAGGTAGGGCAGGTTAGCACCATGGAGACTAACCAGTTCAGAGGTGCATGAGCTTTCATAGCCAACAACCTATTTCATCAGGTGATATGAATGAACTAGGCTGAATAACAATGCTTTACACATCCAGCACCTTTAACTAGGTTGGTAATTGACTACAGATCAAACACCCACCCGATGGCAGCCACATGTATAACATTATTATAAACTTCCAATAACACCAAGGAGGATGGAACCAGAGCAAATACCCTTTCAGCATCAAGATGACCTCCAAGCCTGCCCCAGGACTTATTTAAACAAACAAAAAAAAGGGGGGGATGAGCTTTGGATCCATCCAGCTCTCAGTATCAGTCCCTTTGATAAAGCTCTCAAGTCTCAGAGATCTTCCTGCAGAATAGTTAATGTTGCAGCCTCTATTCTGACCAAGCCTAACAGCCCATACACACTCCCCAGCCCTCATCTCCTCACCATAGGAATGAGATAAGAAGCTGTAATTCTTTCTTGTTTGGAGCTTATTTCAGCAGAAAGGGCAACGGACTTGGCTTCAATTAGAAACAACATAAAAGAAAATTAAACAGTGTTCTCATTATTGCAGCAAGGGAAGATTAGGTTAGATATTAGGGGGGGAACTCCCACTAGAGGGATAGTAAAACACTGGAACACATTTCTCAAAGAAGTTGTGGCATCTCCATCCTTGGAGGTTTTTAAGACCGGTTTAAACAAAGACTTAGCTGGGATGATTAAGTTGGTGTTGGTTCTGTTTTGAGCAGGAGGTTAAACTAGATGACCTCCTGAGGTCCCTTCCGACCCTAATCTATGATTGCAACAGAGCAATGCAAATTAAGGGAAAGAATTAGGCTGATGTGTAACATGGGTCAAACTACTTGCACATATGAATTTAAGAGTGTGACTTTGCTTTAATGAGTAGTGATAAGCAGAGCTACAACCTCCTGATTGCAGCCTAAGTGAAAAATTTGGAATTTCTTTAGAACCGCAAACAAGGAACTTGGTTTATTTGCTGCTGTTGAAGACAATGAGTGCATTCTCATGAGGTCACAACAAAGCCTTTCTGCTGTTTCCTCAATTGTGTGCACATGTATAAAACAAGCAGCCACAATTTAGCCAGACTTTGCTTTCACTGAGAAAAGCAGCACTGCTCAAATTGCAAAATCAATTCATTTCTACCTGAGGCACATTCATTAGCATCTACCACTTGGCCCGTCTGACAGTGGCAGGCTGGGCTTGCTGATCTCAGACACCTTACAGCTTGGGCCTGAATCAAACATGTATATAGTATTGGCAATAGATTTGGGGCTGTTTTGTGACTGCAGCACCAAGTGGGCAGTTTAGGTTTTAAGGTGGTGGAATATTTTCCAGTAGCCAGAAGAAAAGATCAGGGTTCAATACTTTTTGATTCTATACTCAGTTGGCAACAGGTTTGGGAAGGGCCCTCCTCCTAGACCACTGGATCCAGTCCCCTGAATTTGTAGGAAATGATGTACTCTAAAGTCCCCACTTGAAACCATCATGCACAGCTACAAGGGACAATATCTGAAATACCCAACACGTGCTACAACACTGCTACAGAGTCATTTGATTTCTCTGAGCAACAGTTTAGATCTAACTATACTTTACTACCTCATAACCTTTTTTGAAGTTATATATGTAAAATCATCTAAGATGAAAGGCATTGTGCAGTAAGAGAGCAAATGAAGCTAATTGTATAACAGGATGTTCCTCTTTCTAGAATCCCATGCTGTTCCCAAATCAGGTAAACCCAAGAAAAGATTTATCGTCAGCTTCTTCATTAGACAAACTGCCTCAAATTGGATTTTGTTTACAATGCAAGAATCAATGGCCATTTCAAGCTAAACTATATTTTGAATTAACACAACTTCACATGCTGCAATTAGTACAAAGACGCTTAACTAACAGCATTCACATCACCACTGTTTTCCTACAATTAGGCATTAGGCTTTGAGGCGGTAAATCAAAACTTGGGTACATTTTGCAAACAAATCTTGCACATGAACTTTTGAATTAAGACTGCTGTGTAACAGTGATTAAAAGAGTCTCCTTCCTGTATGTTAAAAAAATGTAAATAAACAATTATCCCTTTTCTACAAAGAAATTAGGTTGATCAATTAAGTCTACTGCAGAAAACCTTGAATTAGCCTGATTAGTTTCAGCTACTTAAATTCAGAAACAGATGCCTCACTTTGCTGAGCTCATGATTAAAGGCTGCATTCACAAAAAAAATTGGATTACGCACACTTAAGACAATACCTTGCATTTTTTTCCACAGCAGATGGCCTGCACAATTAGTAACATTTTTTTTTTAAATAATTGCAACAAGAATGCGTCTGAAGTGAGAAGATGGCTAGGCCAAACTGAGCACTCAAAGCATTCTGGAAAATATTCATGAAACAAAGCTATTTTAATTGCTCCCTTACATTAGGATGGGTCATATGCATCAGAATTATCACATACCCTTTGTTCCCATGCATGATACAGCAGGAAATAAGATATTGCCTCCTTTCCTCAGTGGGATATCCACAGAGGTACTGCTCCTTCTCTGGTGCAGCTAGCAGGGGGTGAAAGTACCTGGGCTTTTCCCACTAATGCTCTGGTCTGAACAGCAGAGCAGCAAGGAGGAGGATGGGATAATCTGTTCCAGGTGTAGATCTGGGGCATGGTATTTTCTCCTGAAGCAATACTGTGACTCTGAAACACAACATGGTCACCTGCCTACTCCAAAGCACCAAAGACATACTGCTCCTTACCCAGCTCCTTCGCTGGTATAAAATGAACATAGCCCTGTTGAATTCAGTGCAGCTATGCCAATTTATAGATTTTTTTAGTGGCGTTGACTAGGTCACTGCCACCCCAAAATACAAGCTAAGGCCCTGGTTCAGGAAAGCATGTCCTCCTATGCTTCAATAAGTCAAACAAGCATTCAGATAGGTTTTCCTACAGAAGGATGCTTCCATGAATTGGCTTGATCCTCTAATAGAAAGTCAGGTTAACTCCAGAAATACCCATGTCATTTCTGCTCATTTAGGCTGTTGTAATGAGGATCAGAATCTGGCCCTAAAATGGGGTCATCATAAGAAAATGTCATAACACTTAGAGACCTATTTTTGGTAGTTCTGGCCCCAACAAACATGCATCTCCCAGCTACCCTAACCTCCTACTTTCTCAGTTACTCAGCACTTGTTTCTATCAGCCTGGGAAGGAGTCACCTAACAACCGTATCTTACTACATGAGACAGCCTCATATTTTGAATTGGAAGGTCCCTGAATTGTCCTCAGATCTGAGTCTGTAGTTTCATTTCATATTCCTCTGATTTAACAACATCCTAAGCAGTGGGTACTGAAACTGAATTATTACACTCCAAAATACTCTGTATTAACTTATCCATCAGCTATAGCATTTTTGCTCCTTTGGGCACAACAGCTCAGGCAATCAAGTAAGGTTCGAAGACATTAGCAGTAGATTAAATTACTTAGGAGAGAACATGGAGCCTGTATCAACAGAGGGCTTGGGTCTGTTCTCTCTGTGACATAAATCCCAGGGTGCTTTCATTGAGGCTAATGGGCTTGCATTAATATATAACAGGTGTTAAGTGAGGAAAGTATCCAGGTCAGGAAATCTGTAGAATTACTGTTTGTCATCCTTGTCGTGGTTACTTTTACTTTTCTTTTACCAACTATTTGTGGCCATATGTCCCTGTAACCTTGCTGAGGCTAGAAACTAAGTGGCATGCCAGGTCACTGGCATCCAGGTCTGGGCAATCACCCAGAGTCAGAAGAAACAATTGAGATCCAAGGGGAGCATGCAGAGTTCAAGCATAAGGGAGCCAGCAAACCAACATCCAGAAGATCCATCTGGGGAACTGGGTCAGTGATATAGAGGCTTGGGCAGAGTCCAGGGTCAGGAAGCCAGCCAAGTCAGGTATCAAAGGGTACCTGATACAAAAGGTATCAAGACAAACTCAGAGCCTGTGGGTAGCCAGAGAATGTCAGAGAGCTAATATCAGCACAAGCCAAGGACAAAACCCCCTGGGTAAAATGTTAAGCCTTGTTGCCCTGACATTTCCTCTTCCAGACCAGGGGTTTTTCTAGGAAGGGGTAAAGGGACAGCTGACCCTGGCTGGACACTCCAGCTGCAGAGAGTGGACATGTGGCTAGGCCCAGATAATGGGTTCTGACCCCCTATGTCCACCCCAGCACTCAGCTGAGGAGGTGGCAAACTAGGATGAGTGGCTGTACCTGGCAGGCTGAAGTGCCAGATTCAAGGCCACAGCCTGACACTAAGCGGGGCTGGATCTAGCCATTGCTTGAATTGGAGGCCTGCAAAGAAAACCTGGCTGCTGCTGCAGCTAATTGTGATCCTTTCTTCAGGTGCATGCTGGAATCTGTAGTCTTCATGGACCACACCTCTATATGGGAGATAAGAGTTGCTGATGCATGAATCATATCACTGCTAGTACACAAAAATCATTCAACAAATTGTAGTTGCAATAAGACTCAATTGAAGCATATGAAACACAATAAAAAGCAGCTAGTTCCTCAGGCTCCATGTCACTGTGCTTACAGGTCCCTAGCATGCTGCCACTGTGGTCAGTGACTTGATACCAGCTGAAGCCTGGCTGCATCCTCTACATATTGCTCAGTCTACTTCAGTCAGCTTCTGGAATAGCTCACCTGCTCTCAGGCAAGCTGATGGTACTGGTAGTTTGACATTAAGCGCAAAGTCTGTTCTTGCAGTGATGTAAATCCCAAGAAAATAGCATGTTAATGATGAGTCATTTAAGGGTCTCACAAATTGGTAAAATAAGTTTGTAATTCACTCATTATTACAGTGATAATGCAAACTAGGCTGGGGGGGGTTCACTATGTTTCTAAATAGCTACTTCAATGAGCAATAGTGCAGCCACACTTAAATTCAGCTGCAGGTATATCTGGTACTCTGTAGTGGGAGTTACAGCAGTTAAGCCACATTGCTGTGTTAAAAGCTCTCCGTAAAGCTCAGTGTGCTGGAAGCCGCTTGCAATGCATAATGGCAACAGTGACTGAGCCTAAAAAAACAGGAAACATCACTGCATGTTTCTGCGTGTCATCTAAGGGCACACGATCTTTTAACTCTCTGCACGTAAGCAAGTTTCCTGAAGAAGGATGTGCTGCATTTGAAAGCTTGTCCAAGTCTATCCCAACCACACAGCTGGTCCAATAAAAGATATCACCCACAAAAAATCCTTGCCTCTTCCATATTTATTGGACTGTCATGGCTACAACAGTATTCCAACATGACCTATTTGCACATAGCCACCTCCTGTACACTGCTCTTATGAAATGGAGGGCTTTGAAGTCACATCAATGGTATAACTGCCACAAAAAAGGATGGGGGCAAATTCTACACAGCTCACAAAGCTGCATTTACAAAATTTCTAGAAATGAGGTGAGGCCCTTAGGTCCCTGGCCATATAGGGTTTGGAAACCTATTTGGGCTGGGTGAATCTG